GTGTTTAAAGGAATAACTAAAGAAGCTGAAACAACAATATTATGTTTGCATTTTACTGTCTGTTAGCAAAATATCTCATGACCCACTGGACACAGTTTAATGAAACATTCAGGAAATGAGATGTAGAGGTGCTGGTTAACTTTTGAAGTCAACGCAATACAAAATGAACGCCATGGCTAATCAAAACAACATAAAAACGGTTCAAATGCAGCACATTTTACAGATATGCAGCAATATATTCACAACACAATCTGGAAGTGAGATCTCAAGCATCATATACTCAAACTTACTAAAATGGCAACAACTTTGTCCCTTTTCTGCATGAAAGTGCTTCAAGAAACTGAAAATGTTTTTGTTAAAAACTGAGCAAATGATTCTGAAATGAAAATGCCTTGATGGTGAGTCATAAGTTACCAAGCAAAAAAATGCTGACAAGTTAATTATTAATTATTTCTGCTGATTAAATCTCTGACCTTGCTTTGTCTTTAGCTGAAGGATAAAACCCAGCAGATTTTTTGGACTTACCCTTCAGGGCTCTTCCCCTGATAATAAATGGCATTCTGTCACCTGGCTCTCCTCCGGGGCCTCATCACCGTGCCTTTTTGTGCTCGCTCTTCAGCCAGTTCAGAGGAAATGAGTGTCTCGGTGCTCTGATGGAAGGTTAGCAGTGATTGGATTACCTGTGCCAGCACTGGGGAGGATAAAGCAGTTTTACTGCAGCGCGTAATCCTCCGATTATAATCCTTGTTCAGTGAGCAGAGGCAGAAACCTCAACTCATGGAGCCAAATAATAAACAGATATAAATTAAAGTATTCTTTACAAACAAATGCCATTATAAGGTTTACTTTGCTGAAAGGTGTAATGTTTCATTGCATGTTGCTTTTTTATGTTTGAGTAGCTGGAGCTTTTGTATTTTGTGGTTTGGTTATTGGGTTTAGTTCGGCTGCTGTCAAATTAGATTAGTGCTTTCCTCCATCTTTTAAAGGTTTATCTGATCCAACACACCTGATTTGAATAAATGGGTAATTAACAAGCTTCTGTTGAATATGAAGAGTTAATCCAATCACTGTTGGAGCAGGGACACAAAACATACAGGACCAGGGTTGGACGCTCCTGGATTAGATATCTAAATCTCTCTCATTTTTTAGTTTAAAACACAGCTGAATGTGGCCAAACAACATGCATATAACGGTATAAGCTCAAACTGGATAAAAAGTGTTTGGCCACAGCTGTAATTGTTGAATTTAAGAGTTTTAGTCAGAATTTGGGTAATAGGTTTTTGTGATGTGTAATGCTTCAGCGTACCAAGACATTTGGACATTTTTTAAGCTTTGAACTTTGTGGCAACAATTTGAGGAAGGTCATTTTTTTATTTCAACATGACCAGTGCACTATAAGCAGGGAATATAAAAGCAGAGCCCTGACTTGTAGCCCCACCTGTGGGATGAACTGGACTTTTTTTTTACCCCATCCAACTTTGTTATTTTGTGCAAACAAACAAACATGGATTCTAAAAGTGACCTTTAGTGCCTTGTGTGTGTGTGTGTGTGTGTGTGTGCGTGCGTGCGTGCGTGCGTGCGTGCGTGCGTGCGTGCGTGTATGCATTCTTCAACAAAGTTAATTTAATTTAATTTAATTTAATTTAATTTAATTTTAGTTTAGTTTAGTTTAGTTTAGTTCAAGTTGTAACCCTGCGGAATAAAAATTCTCCAGGGAAGTTTTTTAAGTGCTGCAACTTCCGGTGACGGCGGAAGCTATAAGTGTTTGCAGAAATCCGTCCGTCCGGGAGCAAAACAATCATACTAAAAAAAAAAAGATGGAGATGATAAATGCTGGACATCTGATGAGCCTAGCAGCTCTGCAGAGACAAGATCCGTACATAAACCAATTACTTGACGTTACTGGTCAAGTAGCTCTTTACAACTTTAACTCCAAAGCGAACGAATGGGTAAGTGTGGAATTATGACAGAAAATAAAACCTCCCGAAACACTCAGCCGAGAGAGTCAGCAGTTTAGCTACATTGATTTAGCGCCTCTTTTCAACACAGGTCCAAAGTAAATCATCAGAATCTGTAAAACGTTTTTAGGCTAACATTGTCGAACATGTATTTAATCGCAGTTTCGTTATTTGCTTGTTGATCTTAATAAAACCGAAACTGCTAATTGAAACTGGAGCTTGCTAGCTAGAAAAGCTCACTCTAGTCGCAAATTGTTTAGCGGCTGTTGTTTTCGTCTGACAGTGATTGTGATGTCGCTTTTTGTTGCAGGAGAAGACCGAAATCGAGGGAACCCTGTTTGTTTATTCGAGGTAAGCTCAGGACGCTGGGAGCGAGTTTAACCGGAGAACATGAAGGTTGTTTATCAGTTCGGTGTTAGGTTTCATGACGTTATGCGCACGTGCGCAGGCCGCAGTCTGTAAACAATCATCGCGTGACTCAAGATTTTCTTAAAGTTAAATGTTGTCAAAACCAGCTATAAGTTGAGAAGAGAACGTTTAAACTAGAGCTGTGTATTGGCAAGAATTTGGCGATACGATACATATCATGACAGAGGGGTCACGATACGATATATCCTGAAATATTGCGATACTGTAAGCAAGGCGATATATTGCGATTTTTTTGTCCAAAAATTCTGTTAGATAAAAATCTCTTACTGGTAAAAGAAAAACCAAAATTCATTGTCTCAGGAAATTCTAATATTATATAGACATGCTTTTGATACGTTTAGCTGTCTTCTGCTTTGTATGTGTTTTATTTTATTTGTTTCATATTTCATCCATGTTTTCAATTATTAGACTAAATTTGCCAATAAATAGTTTGAAAATATATTTTTTGCAGCTTTTTGTTTTTAATATTGCTTTATAATATCGTCACCCAACACTTAACAATAGCCTCTAACTCAAGAGGTGGAGGAGCCAACTGGCTGGCTCACTGCTGCCAACTAGTGGTCAAGAGGCTGAACTACAACATAAAAATGAACGGCTGGCAGGAAAGTTGACATTTTAAACCTTTAATAAAAAATCGATACAGGGCTTTAGAATATCGATACAGTATCGGGAAATGAAATATCGCGATATTTCAGTATATCGATATTTTCTTACACCCCTAGTTTAAACATGAACTATTTACAAAATATAAACTTGTGTGATTTTTCTTATTTTCCTTACACATAGTCTTTATTAAAAAATTTTATTTTCCTGATTTAATTTAAATTCTAAATTTTCACAACTTATGATTAATATTTTATTGAAGTATACCAAAAATGGAATACCCAAAACAAACTTTATTGTGATCTATTGAGTCATATTAGTCCACTCTGTGTCTTTGAAGGTCTGCCTCTCCTCATCATGGCTTCACCATCATGAACCGACTGAGTACAGAGAACCTTGTGGAGCCGATAAATAAGGACCTGGAGTTTCAGCTGCAGGATCCCTTCTTGCTCTACAGAAATGGCAACTGTGAGTGTTTACGGAGAAATAAATACACAAAAAAGAGAGGTTTTCTGTGACTGCTTTAACAAATCTCAGCAGTGCTCTTATTTATGTATTGTTGATGTCGATCATTTTCTTTGTTATTAAATGTTAGAGACTAGTTGCCAGTCACTTTTATTTTATACTTGCAGTCTAAATTTCTCAACGATGAGATTTCTTACCAGGCAAAATTAGACTTAAATGATGAAAGTGATCATCTTTAATACGATATTTAGCAAAGCATGTGCTCAATGGGTTCACAAACCTTGATCTACATTAGTCAGTGTTTACAGTTTTACTAACAGTCACAACAAGCACGCACATAAATATGATCATACCTGTGAAGATTGCAGAGAAACAGCTCTCCAGTGTTTGGTGAAACATCTCTTTTCCATACTGCTTGAAGTCATTTTGACGTCTTACGGCGTTAAGCAGGAACGCTTTGGAGCTCATGGCCCAGATTGGCCAGACAGCAACTTCAGCTTGACTTGGAAACCATTATCCTTCTGCATTCAGGCAACAGTCAGAGAGTCGGGGCTCTGATTGATAATCTAACTATAGTAAGTTATGTTAGTGATGTCCTCCAGCACCATACGGTAAAATAAAAACGGCACGAAATTCTTCAAATCTTCAAAAAGTAGCTGACAGCGCTGCCACCGAGATAATCGATTAGAAGTCTAAAGAGCAGTTTCATTAGTGCAACGAACAAGGAGTTGGATTGCTTTCCCATTTGTTTGCTTATGAGGAAAAACAGCATGGCCAGGGTCAACGTTAGAGTCGACTGCTCCCCTTTTGGATTTGGCTTGCACACCAGCCTGGCTGGTATCGAGGACATGATGAGGAACGGTCTTTTTGGTATTCCAGTCAAAGCCTCTTCTCTAGTAGCTTCACTTGAGCGCGTGCGCTGATACCATGGTTCCTTAAAATTATTTGCTGCCGAGAGATTTCTTGTGGCGCGCAAGTGTTTAGTAAGCTACTGTTTAACTGTATTCCTCAGGCTGCACTCACAGGCTCCAGAACGCTGTCCCTTCTCAAAACTGTCCCACAAAAATTAGTTTCTGCTGGGATCCTCTCCTGGTTTCTGCCCCATCAGATTGTTTGTGCTGGTCCCTCACACAGTCCATTTGAAAACTAGTTCTCAGAAGGCAGTTTTGACTGTCGCCTGCAGTTTTGCTGCTGTGAAGGTGTGACAGTTGGAAGAAGAAGTCCTATTTGCGATGTTTGAAGTGAGAGAAGCTCAGGTGAGAAAGTTGGAAGACTCCTCCTTCCGAGGAAGTAATGAATCAGTCTGAGTGTTGGTGAGCTTTCTGCTTGAGGGTGTGTTTAGACTTTGAGGATCTAGTTGGAGAGAAACACACTTGTTTACACCGTTCTGTATTCCCTTTGGTAGCAGTAGATGCTTCAGAGAGGCGAACACTTAAGTTGCCAGGTAACAGCAGCCTCCTGAGGGACGTTAAACACACCAGTGGTTCTGTCGCACACAAATGTGACACAGCCGCTCGCTTTTGTTTTAAAGAAATCTTGCAAGCTGCTGTTTGTTTACATTTTATTTTTCATTTAGCATTCTTTTAGTGATCATGTTTTTGCTTGACTTCAGAGTGTGATTATCTTTTTTTTTTTTTCTTGGTAGAAATAGATATTTTTTTAAACAAATTAATTCTGTTGTGCTACTGCTTTGAAAGTAGAAATCAATAATAGTTTCTAAAAATACTCTAAAATAAGGTGGTTATTTTATTGTTGTTGTTGTTTTTTTTTTTAAGAAATTGAAGAGTTATATTTGGTGTGTTTTTTTCTGTTGACAATTTAGTTTTTTATTTTGTCTCCTAACAGTGGGGATCTACAGCATATGGTTTTATGATAAGAGAGATTGTCAACGCATTGCTCAGCTGATGGTCAAGTAAGTAGGTCAACACATTTACACAGTATCTGTGAAAAGATGAGATTATCTGCTGTTTGTTCTATATTTTACTCTGCATACTGTTATATTGTTTTTATGAATAACACTGTAAAGCAAGCAGCACAGATATGTCTTGGTTTAGTGAAGTAAAATGTGGATCTTTCTGTGTATTTTGTGTAAATTATATGTAAAGTATCTTGTTAATACTAGAGAGACACAAACGGCTGGAAACAAATTCCTTGTGTGTGTCAACATACTTGGCCAATAAACCTGATTCTTATTTGTATGCATCGGGTTTAAAAAGGTACGGTAGCTTTATTTCTACTTAAATCTCCTCCAGGATTGTGAAGCAAGAGGCAGACCATGCCCAGAGAAAGACCCCAGAGTCGGGTCGAACCAACGGAGTCGCAGAGCCGCGGTCCATCGACATCATGGAGCTGCTCAGCAAAGCCAAGGAGGACTACCAAAGAGTAAGAACACACAGCTTGTTGTTTTAAAAAAATGTTAACAAAACTACAAATTTTATTAGAAATTTAAAAACTCATTTGTGTTTTGAAAGGGCATGGCAAGAGAAACGAGGGTTTCAACAGAGGCGAGCGTGAAAACAGTCAGTGATGTTACACAACGTGCACAGAACACACAACCACCTGAGGTATTTGAACAATTGTTTTTGTTTGTTTTGTCCTTTTCTACACTTAAACATGGAGACGTGGACAGACTTCAAAGACACTTCAGTGTGAACATTGGGCCGTATGCAAGAACATGTTCATATTCTTATCCTAAATTTCTCTTACTTTTGTTCGTATGAAGGGTTCGTACGAACATGCCACGTCAGATTCAACAAACTCTTCTATCTTCAGGAAAAGTGTGTAAATGAGGAACGTAAACTGATGAATGTGTATCAGCTGCTCGTGCATTTATGCAATTTATGTCGTTACATTTAGAATCTAATTCCAGGTCAAACAGAATAGCCTATTGTTAACATAATAATAGAGTGTGATTTATTTTCAACTCGAAATATCTTCAAACTAATGAAATCTAAAGTTATTAGTGAGAAAAATCTGTCTGATAACAGCAGACTCACTGCTCATAAAATACACAACAGGTCTGGACCACTTGTGAATTTTGTTCGTATCTGAAGAAAATTTAAGAATACGAGAAAAATTGAATGCCACAGATTCTCCTAAATCACTCGTACGCACAACTTAAGAACAAATCTGCGTACGAACGGTTCTTGCATGAGGCCCGTTGTTGTTGTTTGTTTTTTTTTTGAGTCAGTTATATTGTCTTCTGACACTGTCGTTCTTTTTACTGAACAGAGCGCTCATACGGGGGTGAAACAGATCACGGTCGAGGAGCTCTTTGGTTCTTCTCTTCCTAAAGACCCTCCTGTGATGACCAAGCCTGCACAGGTCACCGCTGCTTCCAACCACTTCCCTTCAGCCTACATCCAGAAACAAACATTTCCTTCTGCAGCCCACCAAAGTGCTTTTGTCACGTCTCAGTTCTCGGCCCAGGATCCCGTCTCCAGCCAGCAACAAGTCCCCGTTCTAATCCCGTCTCCCTTTGTGATGAATCCCAGTCCCGTTTTCCAGTCGGTAGTCTCCAGGCCAGAACCAAAGTCTCAGTGCGCCGTCTCCCCTCTTATGATGCCTTCAGCTGACACGGAGATCCTCACCGCTCCTCCTGGGTCTACGTCATCTCCAGCTGCTCCTACGAGCTTTTTAGGGCAGGAGATGGTCACCACACTCAAACCAGCAGCGTCCTCTGTGAGTTCAGGTATCCACAAACCCATCCTCGCACCCAGCTTCCTGCCAAGCACGCTGGTTCCACCTCACAGCTTCCAAGAACCCAAGATGGATGTTTTCTCCCAACTTCCCACCATGATTAAACCGATCCCTGTGAGTTGAGCTCTGTTGGCACCTTCACCAGTCTCTTGGATACGTAGTTCATACTAGAAACTTTGCATTTCCTGCAAAAATGCAGTTTGAATAGAATAGAAACAGCGTTTATTGTCCCGCTCGGGAAAATTCAGGTGTAGCAACAGCAACAGAAATGTACATCAATCCACAGAAACAGTGTATTGCTATGTGACATTATCAGCTGTAGCAATAATAATAGAATTAAAGATAGTAACAATAAAAAATAAACATAGATCAAAATAATAGTAAGAATAATCATTACTGAACCAGACTATCAAGATGAAATTAGATCAAAAATGAAAATAAAACTACCGTGCAGAAAAATGTGAAATTACAGGAAAAAAACAGTCGACAGACTCATGATCCGAGGGGTGTGTGCAAAATGAGTCGAACTCAGTCATTAAGTCAGTGTTTCAGTACCAGAAAAACCATGTACAGTTGCCGCTGTTTATTATTTATGTAATGACTGATGTGCTTGAATGTTTGATGCTGCAAGATTTTTGCTGAATAGCTTAAAAAAAGGCTAAAACTATCCTAAAAATAGCTTTAAAAAGTAGCTGAAATTAGCACAAAGAAACAAAGTGCATGTTTGCTGATCTAAGCATTAGGAAGTAAAATTGAATAAAAATTATTATAACAAAAAAGAATTTAGCTGAAATAGCAAATATTAGCTGAAACGTAGCTAAAAAAAACAGCAAAGCGGCTAAACGAAACAATAAAAGCTTAAATTAGCAGGAGAATAGCAAGTCAGAATGATGGCTAAAGAAGCTCTAATTGGACTGTCAAATAAGCCGAAGGAAGCTGAAATTAGTACAGAGGAATTAAGAAGCAGAACTAGAACAAAACGTAAAAGTGCAGTAAAGATTTATGAACATTTGAAAGCGTTTTAAGGATGTTGGAAACTGCTTCATTCATTTTAATGAGGAAAAAACATGGCAGAAAAAGCTAATGATCTTAAAAAGTAACAGAAGTCATAGAAAGAATGTCCTGAAGGAGCTCAATGTTTTGACATCTAAATTGTTGCAATAGAACAAAAATTGTGAAACAAGATGTATACTGAAACACATACAGAAAACAAATGATATTTTCTCATAACTTTTTTTAAAATCTCTTTCCTTTCTTTTCTCAGGCTGTTCCCATGAGTCCAGGTCTTGCTGTTCCAGGGTCAGGGATTTCAGTACTTCTTTCACCCAGCGCCTTCCAGCAGACGGTTAATAAACCCGTAACAGCACCGGTGGCTCCCTCTGCTCCCCCTGAGCCACCTGCTGCCTCTGGACGAGCTGCAGAGTCTCCGTCAGGCCCCTGCAGTAAAGCACAGCTGCAGGAGACTCTGATACATCTCATCAAGGTACAAATAGCAGCAGACCACAGAGCTGCTGCTGGAAGAAGTTCATTAATAACTTCTTATAATTAATACACCTTTGAGAGCTGTTCACACAATAATAGGTCAGTTTTTAAAGAATGGCCGCTCCAGACACAGTTTGCTTCAGAATTCAGAGTTTGCAACTAAAAAAATCCTGTTTTCTTGTCAACTTGAGTCACCCAGTGAGATGCTGCTCTGAGGATTTGACTATTAATATCACAGAAAAACAAACCACTGCTTCCTTATTAATCAAAGTATTTGTAGTTTTTTTTCAACTTTTGTGTTTCCAAAAAAAAAAAAAGCTTAAATTGAAATATCTGTTCGTTCTCATGTATTTCTTCCTGGTCCAGAACGACCCAGACTTCCTCAGTGTCATTCACGATGCTTACCTGCAGAGTCTGTCCAAGGACCTCGGCAACGTGAAGTTGTAGTCGGACCTGGACCAGCGCAGACCAGTTCAGGGCTTCAGACACGTTTGTGTGACCACAGAGGTTTGTGACACACCACACCACATCTCTTCAGGATTATTATGAGCTGGACTCTGTTGACTCGTGAAGATGTCCTGGCTCCCGTCGCCCTGGATTTCTCTGATTACGTCAAAGGAGAGCGACTGTGGGAGCAAAGATCAGATTAAACGTCTCTGTGGATTACTGGGCAGAGCTTTGAAAACTTGATGATTGCGGTTCAACTGCTGACCACTTATTGGTGGAGGTCAAGTGAAAAACTCTGACTGTTGGATGGTAATTTATCTGCTGTGAAACTTAGATGCTCCTTTTTATTACTCAGAACACATCTTCTAGGAGTTCTCCTGGGAACACTGACAATACACCCAAACTGTGACATCTTTACTTTTTTGATGTCTAAATGATTTTTTTTTACCTCTTAATAAGTATTCATTTTTTTTGAGAAATTTTGCTTTTGAAAACTTTTTTCTTTGTCTGAGAACTGTTTTCTTTCTAAAAAGACACTTACAGATAAAAAATAATAATATTTAGAAGCTGGATTTCTTGTAATGTTTCAGACTGGGACACATTCATGCATCTTGAGTGCAAAAAACCGATATATTTATATTTTTTGTATTATTTCTGTATATTTTCCTTCATTTTTTAAATTTCAGTATTATCTTTAGTTTTTTTATTGTTGTTTTTTTTTGGTGCGTTTTGTTTCCTCCACCAGCTGAGCTCACAGTACCTGACGTTCTTGGAGGGGCTCGTGCAATAGATGAAAACCTGCTTTAGGACTATTTGATAATGGTGCAGAGCTAAGCTTGTGTAAACTTTAAGAGATGATCTATACATTTAAGTATCATGTAAATGATAGACTTCCTGTTTACATTACCGGTAAGTCTTTTTTTTTTAACGTAAAATTATGAAAAAAAATTAAACCTGGAGCTGATTTTTCAACAGCTTCGGTCTGATTTACTCAGTCTGCCCTGTAAACAAATTTAAACAACCACCATTCACATTTCTGTTTTAGTTCTAAATCACAAATATGACATCATTATATATATTTGTTTTATTTTGCAGTAAAAGGTTACTGCAGCACATAATCTGCAGTGAAAGCTAGAAAAAGCACATTTGTTTTCATATCATGTGCAACACTTCAGCACTAGAGCACGTAAAAATCCTCTGAGTGATTTAGAACGAAGCGTTTCACAAACTTTAATACAGAAACGGTTATTTTCGTTTGGTCAAACAGGAAAGTTTAAATGCAGAATGTGAAGAGGTGTGCAGCCAAGAGGTAAATCTGATGACTTTAGTGCCGTGTGAAAAACGTATTAAAGATCCGACACTTGGCAGGTGTCCAGTGAAAATTCAATGATGGATTAAAAAAAAAAGAAAATAATGAATTTATCATTAAGATTTTAAGGTTATTTTATTTATCCAGTTGGCCACACTTATGAATTTTGGGTGAGCTGTTAAAATTCACAGCATTTTTTTTTTTTTTTTTTTTTTTGGTTAGTCATGATGCATATTTTGGCCAATTTAATAATATTTTGTGATATTAAAGATTTAAAAAAAGGAAAAATGTTTGTTTGGATTTCTTTCAGCTGTGAATGAGTTTCAAAGCTGAAAACTGTTTTATTTTTTTCCTCAATGGGTGATTTATGTCTGAAAATTAGCGGTTATATTTTTGCTTTTTGCTGTTGAAACATTCTGACTAAAGTGTATTATTAATCTTATATTATTAATCTCATCATTTTCAATACAGAAAGATGCTGCTCTGTGATGGATTTACCACCAGATGTCACTATCTGCCTTCAGTTGCACTAAATATATTTACAGTCATCCATTCTGTGCAGTAAATTTCACTCTTTGTTGCTTTTGTTCATTGAAACTTAAATAAGAAGAAATAATGTCACGTTTCAGTACAGTAAGAAACCAGATTAAATATAAAGTACCTCTAAAGGACTGACATGTTCAGTTTTAGCTTGTCACAGATGAAAGAAAGTGTTAAACAGTGGAGGGAGGGTCACTGAAAGTAATCCCTGGCTCTACATCCACTCTGTTAGCAAAATATCTACTGAGCCACCAGAGGTTTGACTGAAACTCAAAGGTTTTCATTGGATCCACAGCTGATTAATCAACATCAGTCAACACATGAAAATGTTTCAGTCATTTAATTTTACAGATACTGGGCTCTCATTTGACAGAGGTGTAAAGTTACAAAGTACAAATACTTTACTTAAAGGGGACGTATCATGCCGTTAAATGTATTTTGTTGTGTACTTGGAGTCTCTAGGCGTGCAGATGCTGTGTAGATATCTTTATATTATTTTTGGGTCAAATTTTTCAACCCTGTTCAACCCCAAGTTTTCTCTTTTCTATGATGTTTTCTGAACTACTACGCCACAGTATTTGCAACAAAACTACCAAATAAGGTCTGGACTTACCAACTACAATTTGGTGGTCTTCATGATTCTCCTCTGGTTCTGGGTCAGACTCTGGCTCCAACATGTAAGGCTGGATGGACAAGGCTTCCCTTGTTGACAGAATAGAATAGAATAGAATAGAATAGAATAGAATAGAATAGAATAGAATAGAATAGAATAGGCATTTATTGTCCCGCGTGGGGAAATTCATGTGTAGCAGCAGCAGATGCATGCATGAATCCACAGAAACAGTATATTGCTATGTGACGTCAATTGGAGCAATAATATTAGAATTAAAGTAACAGTAAATATTAAAACATAAATCATCTTTTCATTTGTAAATGCAAAGTTTCTGCTCCACTAAATAGTCGTAAACCCCTCTATCAAATTGAAATGGACCGGTCTGGAAGCTGGAGGGGGGCGGGGTGTGAAGCATTTTGTTTGGATTTAAAGAGACAGCATCAAAACGAGTTGATCTGAGACACACCTCAGAAAGAGGGGCTTGTGGAGTTACAATAAGACCAAAGCATTGCAGTTCCACTTTATATAGAGCCCAGCTGAATGATTTAAATGTGAAAAAGAAGGATTTAAAAGAATATTTCTCCTTTTAAGTAGAAACTTTGGTTATCTGTACTTTACTGGACTGCTTAATTTTCATTCAACTTTTTACTTCTACTCTTTACATTTTCACACAGTTATCTGTACTTTCTATTCCGTAAATTTTAAAATGGATTCATTACTTTTGATTCATTTTGTCTTGTTTTCATTCCATCTTGTCATCGTTCAAAAAAAAAGCCTATCCAGACATATGGCGCCTCCTGGATAGAGTGAATTTATGCAGCTAAAGCAGGTAGACTAGTGCATACCAGCATTTTCAACATTATTTTAAAATAACATTACAGTCATCATGATCATTAAATTCTAACCGCTCACTTTTACTCTTAATGCTTGAGTAAATTTTATGAGGAATGTACTTTTTAACTTTAACCAAAGTGATTTTATGGTACTTGTACTTTCTAGTATCACTTTGAGGTACTTTTATACAAAACTGTAATTTGACGTAGCTGAGTTGATTCACAACACTCTGGAGTGTGAGACCTCATGAGACTGTGCACAACTTGATTTTCCAGGTTTGTCCTAAATGATGACTTCATTCATTCATTCATTCATTCATTCATTCATTCATTCATTCATTCATTCATTCATTCATTCATTCATTCTTCAACAGGGTGTAGAACCCCTGCATGTATGGAAGGTGGCGGGCGACATGCATGTTTTCTAGTGATGCTAGGTACTTTGCTGAACGTTTGAAGCTGAAGGCTGCTGAGCCTCGTCGTGCCTCTGCTCTCAGTCCAAACTTTATTGGCTGCTGAGTTGTCTCCCCGCAGCCCCGGATCGCCCACATTCATAGGCTTTCCTCGTAAGCCCCGCCCTCCCTCTCTTCACCTCTCTGCCCTAAACAACGCTGCTTTCCTGTCATCACCTTCTTCTCCAAACTCATCCTCCTCCTCCTCCTATATTCTCGGGGCAGCAGACCGGGGAGCGTTTAACTCTTTCCTCAGTTTTAACCACCTCGGGTGCTTTTTTTTTTTTTTCCCTTCCTTTTCCTCCTCTCTCCCCTCTCTCTGGCCAGATGGAAGACTACCACAAACCGGACCAGCAGACGGTGCAGGCGCTCAGGAACATCGCCACGCGCCTCCGGATCAACTCCATCAGGGCGACCACTGCAGCGGGCAGCGGGTGAGATGAGAGGGGCTGTTGGGTCGTTACTCTGCAGGGAACCAGTTTTATTTCAAGCTTCGTGCTCCTCTTGTTTCCTGAAAGAGCTTTTAATAAAAATAGTTAATGTGAAGTCAAGAATGCACATCCATCCAGATGTGAGGTCTAACTGAACACGAGTCAGCAGTCAGCAGGTCCTGATTGTTTTAATTAAAACAGCAACACTGTATGTATTAGTTGTGTGTAAATGTAATTAGTCTCTATAATCTCTGTGTAATTTACACACTTGAGCAAAGCGGGTCCAGTTGGAGACGTTTCTTCTAATTTCTAGTATTCACATCTGAATCTGAACTGCCCGGAACAAGTCACACAAGATGTAAACAAAAAATAAATAAATAAACAAACTATGGTTCACTTGAGAAAATCAAAGAAAAATGGAAAAATTTGCAGAAGTGCCCCATTCTCCCCATTTTCCCCCACTGCTTTCCAAGCTTTATTTCAGGACAAAAGCATCTTCATAGTGGTCTAATTCTAGTGTTTGCAGCTTATCTTCAAGAATGAAGACAAGATAAATATGAAAACATTATCATGTGTCAAATTATTAGAAGTTTATCCAGTTTAACTGTAGATTGAAATGACTCAACCTTCTTAATACGACTCAATCTGACAGTCAGACTAAGCTGTTGGATCTTTGTAACTTGACTCTTTTCCAGTCTGGCTCTTCAGACATGCAGAACACATTTGGTGATTTTTATTTTTATTTTTTTTTTGTTTAACTTCTGATATTTTCAGTTCTGCTCTCGTCCTTGCAGTCACCCCACATCATGTTGCAGCGTGGCAGAGATCCTGTCCGTGCTCTTCTTCCACTCCATGAAGTATCGACCCGACGAGCCGCGGAACCCCAACAATGATCGCTTCATCCTCTCTAAGGTAACGCACGCACATGTCTTTGTGGAAGGTCGTCTTTAACAAGTGGGTGTAAACTTTAACCTTTGACCTCCTCAGGGTCACGCAGCTCCTGCTCTGTATGCCATCTGGGCAGAGGTGGGCTTCCTGAAGGAGAGCGAGCTTCTGAACCTCCGAAAGGTCGACTCCATCCTGGAAGGACACCCAGTGCCGGTGAGGTGACAGAAGTCACATCAGAATACATTGAAATGATTAATACTCACTTTTGTTTAGATTTTGATATGTTTCACAAATCACCATGATTTTACTGCACTTTAAAAAAGTTCAACATGGTTATATTTTGTACAAAAATCCAATTGTAGCAAAAGTGTTGTGAACTAAAATTTGTCAGATTCTGCTGTCTGACCCATTGGATTCTCTCTAGTCTAAAGGGTGAAATATAAATCTGTGTTCATGCTAACAGAAGCAGCAGTTTGTGGACGTGGCCACTGGATCCCTGGGTCAGGGGCTGGGGGCCGCCTGCGGGATGGCCTACACTGGCAAATACTTCGACAAGGCCAGGTAACGTCCACTCAGACCACACGCAGAGAAGATAAAACGTTTAAAGTTCTGCAGAAGCACAGCAGCCGGTCGGTGCTTCTGCACTCAGGGAGAACATCTGAAATTATGCATGACTTAACGTTGGCTGCGGTGAGCCGTGCAGACGTGACATTTCAGCCAGGAGCTTTGGATCAGATCTTCCCTGACAGCCAGGTTGGTCTGTGGGGACGTTTAGTGGTTTTATCTGTGTTACCTTTACATCAAAGACGAGAGCACATTTGATGGAATAAAGGGAGGCTGAGACGAAATCATATTAAATAATTTAATTTAGACGTAAACAGATAAAAGCTATTAAAACTACATACAAACAAGCCCATTGTGCTTCTGTTGTGACAACCTTTCAGCTGTATGGAGCTGCTTTGAATCGCTCCACTCATGTTTCCTTTGTTCCACTGTGATCCAGAAAGAATACAGTGGATTTCACTGACAAAGACCAACGCAGCTTTGTGGCCTGTAGCAGAAAAACAAAATGCAATCCACGCATGTAGGAGGATACAAACACACGTGTGCTAAATTCTTTTATTTTTATTTTTTCCTAAACAAAAATGGAGACATTTTTTGAGGACAGATCGGATCAGTAAAGCGGTTGAGTTTGTTGCTCTCACAGTGTTCCAGGAGATCCTTAAAAAGTCTTAAAGTAATTGAATTCATCAGTCCAAAAAAAGGCCTTAATTGGCCTTAAAGGGGACCTATTATGCAGAATTCACTTTTTAAAGGTTTTTTACTCAACTTTGGGTATGTACTTCTTAAAAAACAGTCCTAGGACCAAAGAAATGCACCCAGGGCCATATTTACTGTAAGTAAATGTATTTTTAATGTATATTAACGACAACGAAATTTTGTGATGTCACAAGCCGTACGACAACCCACCGGAACCTGCGTTCAGCTCCTTACCTAGCAAACCCCGGGTGAGACTCCACCTCTTCAGTATAAAAAGCCGTCACCGTGTTGTTGTGCAATGCGCAGCTCATTTCACAACAAGCCTCCAATAATGGGTAGAGTGTTGGACCAGAGAGTGGGAGACTAGGGTTCGAGACCGGCACGGACATAATTTAATTATTTATTTTCATTCATTATGAACACGTTTTCTCATGTACCTCTACTGTTTAACTTATTAAAGCCTTGTTAAAGCCTATTTGTTCGAGTTTCTGAGGTATTTTGACCGCTGCTGCTCCCTGCTCTGGTAACAGCATGCAGAGAGAGCGCAGAGCAGAGGAGGGGGAGGAAAAAAAGAAGATGCTACGACCACGACTCTGCCTCTGGGTCTCATATGGTTGTACAACGGAGCTTCTGCTATTATTAGCCATGCTAAAGTAAATGCTGGCTTTGGAGGGCGGAGTTAATGTCAACAGATTTTTGGAGGGCGTTACCAACAGAGCTCATTAACATAAACAGCTCTTCTGAACGCAAGTCAGAGCAGGCAGAACTAGAAAATGGGAAATTTTATCTGAGAATTATTTTGTGCATTAAATTGAATGAACATGGTCTGGATAGCCCACAGACATACCATAAACATTTCTAGGACCCATAATTGGTCTCCTTTAAAATGTCTTAAATCAATCTTTCAGATGTCTTTCAAATGTTAACACATTGTAAGTAGGATGATTTGTAATTCATCTCAAATATTAAAGTAATTGGTAACATTTATTTTTTTAAATATTCACATGCTGACATTCCCCTTTGACATCACTTCCGGTTAATTCACATGCAAACTGTCCATCGGAGCAATGTGAAATTTGTTTTGTAATATGTCAATAATGTTGTTATTCCAAAAATGCATTCACTTTTCTTACAAAAACTTGATGTCACAGGTACTGTAAGGTTTCATCTACAGCAAATTGGGGTTAAGACCCCACTGTGGGTCCTAAAACTTTAAATTTTGGGTTGTTAAAGGATTTCCAGAAATTAAATTAAGTTTGAAACTGACTGCTAAGAACGTTTCTGTTATAGTTAGATATGGATAAAAACAATTGGTCTATTAGCAACATTTGAATACTTCAACCAAAAATACTTTGATTCATGAGTTTCTGACAGTTTTTATATTTTTTGTTATTTGTGTTAATTATGAAATTGGTCTTAAATTTAATTTAACTTGGCACTAAAAAGTCTTAAAGTCTTAAATTTAACTTGGCTTAAATTGCAGGAACCCTGTCTCAGCAGAGAGGGAACCAGGCGGTGAAGAAGAGTCGTATTTTCAGCCCAAGCTGCTCTCTGCGTTCTGCGTGCGCTCGATTGTTTCTGCTCTAATAATCACACATGCAAGAGCACACTGGCTCCAACGTCTCTCCGCCTCACCTACTCGCTTCATCTCTTATCCAGAGAAAAATAAATAAAATGACGCTGCGCTTTAGTTGCATTTGAGTACGCACATTGCATCAGACTTGTAATCAGTACGAAATATAGAATTGTGCCGTTTCTTCTGAAGAGAGTGTTGGGCTAATTCGCTGCGCAGAGTTGCATTGCTGGTTTTATAACAGAATCTGAGGCAACTGCTTCATTACCTCTAAAGCACACTGAGTCTAAACTGCAGGATCGGCTCAATTATTTAGTTTAGAAGGAAGCAGAAAGTTCCACAGAATTTGTGTCGAAACAACAAACGAACAACTGGAGATCAGATGAGGTCAAGATGCGACACATGGATGAATTTGTCCGAAGAGTTCAGCAGCAACGATGAAGACGAGGCTGAAAGTAACCGACCGGTTCTGCTTCGTTGCAGAGCTGCAGAACCTGAAGCCTGAGATTATCGGATCAAACAAAAGCACTTCTACCCTCCGGCTTCTTCACAGATTGATCTCATCACAGAGAGTATTTACTCCAATCTTGTTTTATTTTGTCAGTTTTCTGGTGTTGGCAGAACGTAATGGTGTAACTCCAGCCGTACACTGAATTTGGGGTGTTTGGAGAAGAGACAGGATCTTATTTCAATCTGTTATTTTCTGTTTACAGGGGCTCCCATAGCTGCACTTTTGCATGTGTCTTAATGTTTACCGCAGATAATCGCAGCTTTTAGAAAACTGCTCCTTTATTTTTTTCTAAACAGTACTGTTCAGAAAGCTTTGATCCCTAATAAAAACCAGAATTAAGACATTTTCTGTACATAAGTTCTTTGTTACATTACAAACATCTGGAAATCAGCAGACATCTGAAGAGTTCTGTGAAAATTACATTTCTGTTATCATTATATTTAATGAAACCTAATAAGAAAAACCTGCTTCTGTTATCCCAAACAGATTTAGCAATGTCTGGAAAATACTTAATATGCAGTCAAAAAATAGGAAAAAGTCGATTTTATGTTGTAAGACTGTAAAGTTGTCCACACAAACCTGAAATGAGTTCAGTTTTTATGCACTCACCGTGTCCTTTTCACACAGTTAACTCATGATCTTACACGGTGAAATAACACAAACTATCTTCTTCACAGAGTTAAATGTTCGATGTCTAACACAATTTCTTTTAAAAATATCTTTTCATGTGAGAGTTTTTACATCTGGTTGCATGTTGTGGGGTTTTATGTTAAACAAAGACACATTTCAGAAGCTACACTTTCAGCTTTTCAGGCGGATTTTCTCTCCGGTCCTAAATCCGTTTTTCAAACCTTTTTTATTAATTTCCTTCTCTCTGGAATGTCTCATAACTTTCCTCTCCTCCTCTGTTCTTTTCCGTCTGTGCCACATGTTACGAGTGTGTTACGAGTTTGTGATTGGAATGCGTGCCTTTAATGTATGTGTCGGCCTGTTTTCCGGTTTAAATGTGTTTATCTGGAAAGCTGTCAGAAGACGTTACAGCACAGGAGCAACAGCTGAGAATGGTGGGGGAGTGGGAGATCCACTGGTGTGCGTCTGGGCCCGAGAGTCCGATTTCAGAGGATGAGAAGATGTGTGAAAAATGAAAGTGAAACTGATGAGGAAAAACGATCCTTGCGTTAATCTGTGAGCTCTGCATTTACTAACCTGTTTGTGTGTGTGTGCAGCTACCAGGTGTTCTGCCTGCTGGGAGATGGGGAGCTGTCGGAGGGCTCGGTGTGGGAGGCCATGGCCTTCGCCTCCTACTATCAGCTGGACAACCTGGTGGCCATCTTAGACATCAACCGTCTGGGCCAGAGCGATCCAACTCCACTGCAGCACCATGTGGAGAAGTACCAGCGCCGCTGTGAGGCTTTTGGGTGAGGAGGGGGGTGGCGTGCGTTTAAAATACAATATTTGAAATATTGTTTCAGAAATACTGTCTTTAATAAAGTTGCAAATGTTTACTTTCATGCTACTAATATTTTAGAATTTGTTGCATTAATATATCAATGATATCATCAATTATATATTATTTTGGTAATATAGAAAATATTTAAAGTGTTTAAAGTTGACAGTACTGTGTAAAAGTCTTGTCATCCCTCATTTTGTCATTTCTTGTTGTTGTTTTTTATTCCCCAGGTTTTTGAAGGATTTTCAATGTTTTTCTATGAACTTCAATCATTTTTCTTTTACCAATTGTCGGTTCAGTCCTTACACCGACCATTATGGCTAAAAGTAGGGATGAACTGATATGAAAATTTCAGCCAATATCGATATCCGGTATAATTATTGATGTTATAACCGATATTTACCAATATATTAAACAAACACACAAGTTATATCATACATATATGCACAAACACACTTGGGTTTTTTTTTTTGTTTTTGACACGGTAAATAAACGACCAGATCTCTGACATGGCTCTACTTTAGTTATTCTTGGCTGCGCAGCATCAATATCACTATCCTGGTCAAACAGATGCAGCTCAACCAACCATCTCCCCTCCCAAAACAGAAACACAAAGCGAAAAAGTGAGAAATCAATATCGGACGTTAATATCTGCCCAGTTTTACATTTTGGACCGATACGATATTCTAAAAAATGACGCAACATCGGCCGATACCGATATCAATACTTATATATTGTGCATTCCTAGCAAAAAGCATCCTAAGTCCAAAGAAAAACTTTGAATGACATTTCAAAAACTTGGAAAACCAATAATCAAGAACACTTTGACAGATGTCAAAATCTGGACCCCTTGGAAGAAAAATGTATGTAAACTTTTGTGACTTTCTTTTATTTTTTTTCGCAGCTGGCATGCCATCATTGTGGACGGTCACAGTGTGGAGGAGCTGTGTAAGGTTCTGAATCAGTCCTGCCATCAGCCACTCGCCATCATCGCCAAGACCATAAAGGGGAAAGGTATTTCAGGTAAAAACAACCACACGGTGGCTTACTGAACGGGAACATCGACAGAGATTAAAAGATGTGAACTGCTCAGTTGTTAAACTTTCAAAAACTCCCGGAGGTGCTTTAGTGTTTTCTCTTGTGCAGCTGCATAATCCCTCAGAATGTAAGATACACTCCCAGCACCGGCACCATCTGATCATGTTGTGATAATTATGAGCCCAAGTGTGTGCGTCCACATGTGTGTGAAAAAGAAAGAAAAAGACACAAAGACAACCGTTGGGGGCAGCTAAGCGTGAATGTGAAAGCTGCAAAACCAAACTTTGAGTCCCTTTGGTCGTAACCTCTGACCTGACGTCTGTGGGTTTGTGGTGACCTTCTCAAGCAGAAGCTTGTTTGGATTTGGACAGCTGGATGGGCTTACTTTTTGCCCGCTCTCCTAAACATAAAGAGAAAAGTTTATGCAGGACATTGAAAGGAATTTGGATTGTTTTGAGTGCGTAAATGCCTCCTTAATATCCCCCAGGCGCACCGTTAATCCCCCGGGTTCCAGAAGATTTTTTTTTTTGACTCTGACAATAAATTTTTTGCGTCTCTCAGCGGCGGAGGATAAGATGGGCTGGCATGGCAAAACTCTGCCCAAAGACGTGTCCGACGGCGTGATCAGGGAGCTGCAGAGCCGCATCGTCAGCTGCAACAAACGCCTCTATCCTGCCCAGCCCAGCGAGGACGCGTCGCCCGTCAGCCTCCGCAACATCCGCATGCCCAACGCACCCAGCTACAAACCCGGAGACAAGGCGAGGCCCCTGCTAACTCACAGTACCCGTGCTGTCTGCATCCGTCCTCTGAGGAAATGTTTATGTTCCTCTCTGTTCACCCAGATTGCTACCAGGAAGGCGTACGGCGCGGCTCTGGCCAAACTGGGCCGTTACAACGAGCGCGTGGTGGTTCTGGATGGAGACACCAAGAACTCAACCTTCTCTGAGCTCTTTAAAAACGAGCACCCCAACCGCTACGTGGAGTGCTACATCGCAGAGCAGAACATGGTAGGAAGGACGGGCGAGGTTGTAGAGAGCTGCATTAACTGTAAGACAGAGACTCGGGGAAAGGTTTTAACGAGGGCTGGGTCTCGTCTCTCTCCTGCAGGTGAGCGTGGCGGTCGGGTGTGCCGTTCGAGACCGAAACGTGGTGTTTGCCAGCACCTTCGCCACCTTCTTCACTCGAGCCTATGACCAGCTGCGCATGGCCGCCATCTCCGAGAGCAACATCAACCTGTGTGGCTCGCACTGCGGCGTCTCCATCGGTCAGTTACACTCAGAGTCCTTATATTTGATGGCGTGAATGCTGATTCAGAATTCAGTTTTGTTTTTCATGTTTTTTTGTTTGTTTTTGTAATGCAATTACTTCAGCAGACTTTATTCTATTTTAGCCTTTCATGTATCAAAATGTTCAGCCTACTCAGGTGTTAGAAGCCATAATTTTTTGGTTTATGCTACATTTATAATTTTCAAAATATTTAACTTGTAAAAAATATTTTTTCTCATAGAGATACAATAAAATCTTTTAATTCCTTGAAAACCTTGTTTTGAACTCAGCATACATGCTTCGGTTAGCTTTGAACTGCTGCTCTGCTACTTTTGGCTAGCCTTTTGCTACTTTAAGCTAGACATCAGCCGCTTTTAGCTTTTGACCAGTGTTTGACTTCTTTTAGCCACTTGCTACCTTTAGCTAGCATTGCTAATTTTTAACTTTTAGTTGGTCTTTTGTTACTTTTAGGTTCTAGTTAACACATTGCTACAATGATTTTTAGGTAGCTTTAGCTAGAATTCAGCTGCTTTTAGCCTTTAACCAGCGTTTTGTTAGTTTTAGCTAGCACTTTTGGCTAGCATTCCATTACTTTTAGACAGTTCTAAGTTTTACGTAGCCTTTTATTGCTTTTAGCTTCTAGCTACCATTTTGCTACTATAAATTAGCTAGCTCTAGCTAGAGATATGTTGCTTTTAGCTTATAACCAGTTACTTTTAGCTAGCACTTTTGGCTAGCATTCCACTACTTTTGGACAGTGTTTAGTAGGAATGCGCGATATAAATGATATACAGTAGAAACGATATAAATTTGTCCTATGATAGAGATCTGTAGTCTACCGGCCAACCACGCAATTCTTTTTGATGATGTAACCGGCTGGAGTCAAAACAGAGGAAGCGGGAAGCAGCGAGGCTGAGAGCGCAAATGAAGAGGGGAAAAAACTTATCCAGGCCTGGTTCAGGTGTGTGAAAATGAACGCCGAACTGTTTACATGTTTACGTGACGGCACGTCCTCCGGTCGGATACCGACCGACCGACCACACTGCCTGCTGCGGGAGGAGCGTGCGCCGCGGCATGTGTGAAGGGCTCGACACACGGGAGGCGACGTCGCTCGCTCTCCATTCATTTCCACGCAGCGAGGCGACTGTCAGTGCAGGTGAAGTCAGTGCTCAGGTGGGACGCACTAAAATCAGTCTGGACCTCGTTTCTCCTGCGGTCATAGCGCGACGACTCACGGCCGAATGCGCGCGCACTCCAAAGCGCGACTAAAATGATTGTCACCCCGCCGGAGCGCGCACAGATTAAACAGGTGGAGTGCAGAAAAAAAAAAATCTGTAAAGTGTAGAAAGGAATAAATACAAGCAATTTGTTTTACCACCTTAAAACGAAGCAGGTGATTCCAAACACAACATCCAATGGATGCAGATATCTATTACATTAAAGTTATTGTATGAGTGTGTGTGTGTGTGTGTGTGTGTGTGTGTGTGTGTGTGTGTGTGTGTGTGTGTGTGTGTGTGTGT